TATCCCAAATGTGCAACATTTATAGCCTTTAACTTTACGAAAAAATAAATACTCCCAAAAAAATTAATAATTTCGAGCTCAAGGCATCAATATCTTCCGGACCGTCTAAAAACATTTTGAAGAAAAATATATTTTAACAGTCATAGTGTTTTTTTGGACAAAAATACAACATCGATACATTTTAGCTGCTTCTAGGCTGAAATTGATTCTATCATTGAAATTTTAGATAATTTGGTGCAAAGCACGCCGAATTAATCCAGCGATACGCAATTAGGCTTCGTGGCAATTTAACACCCCGCAATTAAACAAAAAATCATTGGAGAAATCCTTGACTATTTCTTTTTTTTTCCCGCAGGACTTAACTTGATATGGTAACGAGTGATTTCAAGGTTATTTGTGGAAACCAACAATGATTGCACTAGTCTAATTGATCAGAATGTCGGAAGAAAGGATAATGAGCCAAATAGTTTTTCAGTTCAACATCAATGCGTCAAGATCTCAAACAAGGTAGAATTTTTGTCAAGAAATAATATTATGATAACAAAAATTGATCAGTCTGAAAGGTCAACCCATCAAAAGTTTTTAACATTTGCAAAAACTGGAATACTAAAAAAATTCAATACGCGAAAAAAGCTTCTGTAACAAATGGAGGTGAAAGATGGTTCAAAATCTTTGTGATATTGCAAATATAGGTTTTTTGACAACGAGTTGGAAGCGAAACTATTTTATTTTTGGTTATTGGTTTGAGTGTTGTGTTTAATTTTTTGGTGTCAGCTGTCAAATGATTTTCGCCATCTCTCTCGGTTTCAATGATAAATGCATTAGCATGTTTTCTGGTTTTATGAGGTCTGAAAATTTCGCTTTTGCAACTAATTTCCTCAAAGGTTTTAAAAGAAAAGATTTTTGGCGAGATTTATATTTGGCGGTTTCAAATTTTAAAAAAAATGATAAAAATAATTGTCTCGCTGGGGGATTCACCACAATTTTTGAAGAATAAAGTGTTTGAATAAAAAATAACTGAAATTTTTATTGAATTTTTTTTTTGAAAAAATCAGTACTTTCATTTTAAAACAATGTTATTTTTCCAAAAAAGAAATGTAAGATGTTGTTGATAGGATCTCAATAATCATGACAAAAAACTAATAGGTTTTTGTGATTTGGTAAGCATTTAAACAATAAGTTTTTCAGTTGTGACCTAAGTTCAAAAAAACAATTCGTTGTTGTCGAGAAAACTTATTCTCATTTGTTCGGGAAATTCGGTTCAGTGTTAAGAGCTAAATATGATTGAAAAAATTATTATTAATTCAGCGTATGAATCCTCTGAACCTGTAATTTAAATAAATAGAATTTTTTTTAAAATACTATTTTTTATGAGTTTTTTTTGTACTACTGCCTGATGTGAAACACTCGTCACATTCCTTTTTGCTTCTTCAACAGTAATCCGGAGCTTTAATCTAATTTTTTGGTATACTTTTGATTCCATTTTTGGAGCTACCACACGCAAAAAAAAGATAACTTGCATTAAATATAAAAAACGGCATTCGAGACCGATTAATAAGCAGTGGAAGTGTTCAAGATTTTGCCCTGATACGAGCAGTCTTGTTCGATTATGTAATTATTATTGCCAGTTAAGTTGGATAAAGTTATGTTAATTATAAGTTGCGATATGAAACTGCTTTTCAGTAGGAAAAAACAGTTTGACAATTGTTTTTTGTTTTACGCTTTTACAACAAAGATTTTTTTAAATCAGCCATAGAAAAAAATATTTAGCAAATCAACGCATTTAACAACGCGTCGCTTCAAATTTAGCAAATCAACGCAATTGAAAACATGACTTACGCCATTCTAGATTTTTTTAGAAAGATTTTTCAATTAATTGACATTGTCATTTGTCGCTTAGAAGCAACCGGCCCGATCCATACTGCAACTGAGAAAACTTAAGGAGAGGTATAGGTCGAATTATTTTTTTCTCATTACGAGGCCAAACTATGCATTTTGTGTATTGTAAGCGGATTCCGCATCAAGGACGCCCCTATGTTCTTCTTTTGCTCTTTCATTTTCTTTCGTCGTTCCGACAAAATTTTAACATGTTTAAAGACTTGTCTAAGGAAATCAGGAACAAACAGACACAAAACTGTGAGCCTATCCAGTGCACAGTTTGGCCTCGTAATGCTGGACAGATTGTGATTCACTTTTGGTTGAATGGTTTCCGCTACTGTTTTGGTAATTTACTTTGTGGTTTTTTAATTAGGTTTTTTGCACTTTTTTGAGACAGAATTTTGGTCGAAATTGTTTACACAAATCAATTTGGCTATATCCCGTGTTAAAAAAATTTCCTCGTGTTTTTACACGAGGAAGCTCAGGGTGTGGGTGGCAATAAATATGAATGACGGGTACAAAATTGAAAAATTTTGTGATAGCCATCATCCTATGAATTATGACTTTACTGAGCAGCCTATTATACTAATCTTTAACGCCCTTTAATCTTGCCTTTGCTTCCCCAGTAAAGCCAGCAGCAACTTTTCTATAAAAAACAGTATGTTAGCCTTACAAAACTCCACGTAAAAACATTACCAATCCTCATGAATTTTACAGTTCACGTGCGCAGTCAATTTCAGAATTCTAATGTTGAAGAAGAGGAAGATCATTCAGGGCTTCGCAATTACACAAGCAATCCTGCCAGGGGCAGATATAGGATTTTCTCGAGGGGGGTTGGATTTTCAAAAAAGTTTCGAAAATTTCCTTTCTTCTAGGCCGACCACATTGATTTTCTGAGCTCTCCACAAGTAGTAAAAAGACTATATTTTTTGAAGTTTTCAGCGCCGCAGGCGAAACTTTGAAAAATTTAGTATATTTTGGCGCCAAAGGCGCATTTACAAAAATTGTAAGGTCAGTCAGCTAAAAATTGATATCTGAAAATAGTACAAAGGGGGGACCCTTTGGGTCGGCAGGGGGTGGAATAGATATCCTGCAGGAATATTACGAGACTTTGCATTCCCTTCATTGCGTAGAAATTTTAGCGATGATGCATTACATAAGAACTTCGAACAAACATGTGAACCCGGGTTGACGTTCATAGAAGAAAAATGCTTATCATACAGTTTCATATATGAAGTTTTTGGAAAGAATGCTTATCATACAATTTTCATGTATGAAAATTATAAAATATTCATTTAGTCATAGAAAAAAATTAAATTTTCAAAAATCACCAAAAAACGTCTCTGGGTAACTTTAAGTAGATTTAAATAAGTATATCTATGATAGAGGGCATAATGACAATCAAACACATAATTTTACTTTCGGTCAGAAAAATGCTCATCATAAAGTTATCATGAAAATTGTATGATATGCATTTTTTTCATAAACAAAAACAAATATTTGAGGTAAAAATTTTTTAATCCCTTTTTTGGCTGCAAATTTGCATTTGTGCTAAAATATAAATTTTACGAAAAAAAAATTGCATGCAAAAATTGACATTTTTGTGTTTATAACGTAGTCCAGGATGAGTTTCATACCCAAAATACATGAAAATGTTTCTTTTTTGTAAACACGATTATTGTTTTTTGTTTCATTTGCTAAGATAAAAATAAAATTGTGAAAAACAGGCCTTAATTCTCAACCATCATAAGTTTCAAGCTAAAAATTATCTAGCCATATTCAAAAAATTACTTATTTGGTATATACTTCCATGTGAAAATGTTATAATTAACTTTTATGGCTAAAACCACCAAGTGCAGTTTATCTGCGTGGTAACTGCTAGTTACACTCTGCGTTTTCTCATGACAAAAATTTATGGGCTTGTGTTTTGGTTGAAACACGAAATTTCGAAACAAAAATTTTTTGAATTTTCATTTATGGAAAAAATGCTTAACATACAATTTCATAGTATGGAAAAAATGCTTATCATACAATTTCATATATGAAAAAAAATGCTTTTTTGCTATTTTCATACATACACTTTTACTCTATGAAATTGTATGAAAGAATATGACAAGCATTTTTTTCATATATGAAAATTGTATGATAAGCCTTTTTTGTCAACCCGGGGAGTGGCAATTTTACTTTTGCCATGTTATTCAATAAAAGATAAAATAAGTGACGCAAAGTAGCATCTGGATTACCTACACACATATTGTTTTCACTAGCTCTTATCCACCTTTTTTACAAGTTTTTTTTAAAATAATTAACAACAAACCGTTAAACATTTTGACTACATGCACTCGTGCAGTTTCACTGTGATCTTACATCTTACTTCACAAAACATATTTCAGCAACCTCCTATGTGAGTTGTTGCTAGGTAGCTTTAGAGAGTTGTAGAAACTACAGTCTATTTATAGATTAGATTATATATAGACTATATACAGATTATTTACATAAAATATACAGATTATATACAGGCCAGGCTCTATACATATTACATTAAGATTATGGTTTGATTTTCACAACATACTCGCCCATCAGATAATATGAGCAGGTTAAAAAAATTTAATGAAGGCTTTTCGAGTAAATTTTTGTGTCAATGTTTGATCTAAAAAAGTTTGAAAATCAGTAATATGGAATCTTGTAGCAGAAACTGATTGATCATAGTTGTTTTTCAAATTTTTTTCCACAAAATTTCAAATGGCATTTGAGAAAATTTGCTTTTCTCACCGCGAGAACGTTGCGAAATTTTAGAGGGACCTCTCGAAGTTTGTAGTTTGTGTTAAACATTGTTCCTCAAATGAGTTCAGCTCACTATAACTCTGAGGCAGTTTTTTTATGATAACAAATTTCTGCTACAGTTTGTGAAAAAAATATATTAAAATAATTTTAGATGGTCAAAATTGAAAATGTTACAACCCATGTAAATAGCAGTTATTATAATCAATTTTGTTTACGTATTATTCATTTTGTATACAGTTTTTTTTGTATAAAAATTATATACTGGACTACATACAGATGATCTACAGGTTTTATCGAACAGAAAAGTTGATTATTTTGGCACTAAAATACATTTAAGGTTAGTGAAAAAAAAATCGATTCTATTTGTATATAAATGATTATTGTTCGCAAAATGGTTGTAGTAGATAAATCAGTTCTATACTTTAGCTTTGAAAACTTTTCCGTAAATAATCAATATCCATTTTCGCCACTGTGGGGGTGTCATATTCTCGTAACAATATGAGTTAGTTGTTATTCAAGCATTCTTAGTCCTTTCCAAATCCTGGAAACACTTTTTCAAATCACTCGCAATTCCAGGTCGTTCGATCAGCTCCGCTTTCGATACCGCATTCTTGAAAAACTCACTCGCGTTTGAAAATCTGAAGGCCTGTGCTTTGAAAACTTTCATTTTCCCCTCATCGCTTAAAACCGAGCCATAAATATCCAACAAACGTCCCATATATTGACAGTAACTCTCCTTTTTGTCGGTTTGCAGAATCAAATCGATCGCTCTCGCCTCATTGTGCCAATCCTTCGATGCTTGTCGTCTCTCGATGACCTTTTGCAATGTTTCAATGGCCTCGTTTGACCTTTCTAAGCGAACTAGAGTTTCGCCCTGTCTGAATTTGGCCTCTAGCATTTCGCCTTCCATAAATCCTCCTTGTGATCTTTGAAGATACGTTTCGGCGTTTTCGAAGTCATTGAGAGCCTTCTCATACAATTCTTTCTAAACAAACAACACAACCAACATGGATTTAAATTTCACTGCAACCTCTTTTTAGCTGAAGAACCATAAAATTTTTCTATACAAGTCTTTGGCTTCAGTAGATACTAAGATAGCAGTTAGACTCCCTCATTACTAAGATAGCAGTTGGACTCCCTCATTACTAAGATAGCAGTTAGACTCCCTCATTAACCAATCGATTCCATATTTTTTTAAATCATTTACGGCACATTAGTAATTTGGCTACATTGGCTCAAACGCAGTTTTTCCAAAAAAGGGCATAATTTTTGGGCTGAAAAACTGGGCCCTTCTACCGTTTTGCCACCAACTACTCTTTTTGTGCATAAGCATCTAATTTAAAGAGTAACTACTGACTTTACAAACTTGTATATGAGAACCAAATGTGTTTTTAATTTTGTAATGCAATCAGATACCAATTTTCAAGATATTTGGACTACATGGACAAAACGTAGAATCACAGAAAATGGTATGTGGCGGGGAAACGGTAGAAAAACCAAAATTTTAACCAAGTTCACCAAAAAAGGTTGGCAAAGTGTTCAAAAACTGTGCTACTCCGACGCGACGCCACCTTCCTTGCAAAAAACTTTCAAGTAACTCTGTACAATGGTCATCGCCGGGTACTACCAATAATCATAAGAAAGGGTCGAGTGATATATCATTTTTACTGAGTTAGGACCGAAGTGTAACTCATAGAGTAATTTCGGATAGGGTACACCGTCTGCTCGTCACGCTATCTTATTTTCGGCCGGATAGATTCGTGCAACTTCTTAGTCTAATACCGATCCTAATCTTACTCTTATACTATCTAGTCTCAGGTTGTTTAACTAGTCTCTGCTAGGCTCAATAGATCTAGGGTATACTGGTTTATTGCGGCTGCTGAAGTGCTCGGGAGAGTCCAACTAATTTCTAAGTTAAATTCAAATCTCTCTGGTGCTGAAATTACAAGTAACTTCAGCACTTACAAATAAGTGGGTTGTTAGTTAGATGGATCATGATTGGTTAATATTAAATACTTTACATTGGTAAAACATTTAATTTATCCAATCATAAAATGTAGTTTAGATCAGGTTCCACCCATCCGGGTTTTACAGAGTTTTTTAGAATAGTTCTTTTGCAATTCGAAGGATGGATGATGGACGTTGGTGTTTGGCGAACATCATAATTTTCTTCCGTTTCCTCTTTTGTTAGGGAAGTTCCAGGAAGTTGGAGTTAGAGACATAAGACGTTGTGTCTTCTAGTGACAACGACTACGTCTTTGCAACAAACTCAAATCTGATTTCAGAATGGTTTGCTATGTCAGGTTTTTCTGTTCTGCGTGGAGAACTTCTTTTGTGTATGATCTAGTTTGGGAATGGCGTGGAGATTGTGCGTGGAGGGGATGCCTGGTTACTCGGATCTGTACGTATACTTGAACATCGAGGTGGTCATTGGTCTAGTTCAATGAAGTCCTTTTCTGCGAGGTCAAGTCGTACTCTAAATCCTTTGAGTTGTGATTGTGAGCGGCATATCGATTGTAGTTGGTCATTCTCTCTCGAGTGTAGTGGGGTCGTCTTGTCTTTTGATGTTCGTCCTTGGTGTTGTATTCTGATCTATATATTGCATCATGTGATTTTACATTTTATAAAACTTTTATTAGTTTAATATTTTTTAATAATGATTTTAGTTAGTTGTTTTCACAAAAGCTTTTTGTTTTAGTTCGGTTATTTTGAAGAGTTACTCACACTTGAGTAGCTCTTATTAAAAATAAAGGTGTGGTCACAAAGCGTGGATGTAGCACGGTGGGTTAGGCCGGCTATAGAGCATGCTCAGGACGTCCTTCCTGGTGGGTTAGGCCAGGAGTGGGAGTATGATTTCATGCGGTTTTTGTGAGGGGTCCTGTTATGTGACAACGTTTTATGTTGGGTTTGTTGTGGTCTTACTTATGTTTTGTTGGTTGTGTCCTTTTTTCAAAAATCAAATTGTTTGTGGTATGGGTTTGTCTTTCGACTTTTTTGTGTTTTATTATTTTTTTTTTAGACTTTATAATAGTCTTCAAAAGAATAAATTATCCAGTTTTAAACTGGGTTAATCCGGTTTGGGTACCGTTGGTTTCCTTTTCTAAGTCATGCTGTTATTCTATGATTTGTGGTATTTAGTAAGCTGCGTTGGTTAGTTTTGTTTAATATATAATTCCTTTCCAACCGGGTTAAAGGAAAGTTTGAAACATGTTATTATATGTTAGAGTTGTTGAGTGTGAAAACTTGAAACTGAAATTCATTATTTTAAACAATTCTTCGTGGGCGAGCTGTGCGAGTGTGGATCGAATTTCTGTGCGAATGAATGAAAATATCAAAAGGTTAGTACTGCATTTGCATTTATTTAATTTACTACATAGAATTTGGAAATTTACTGCTAGTTATGGGGGAATTTTAAGTTACAAATTTTCATCATAATTAGATTTACTGCTTTGGGGGAAAATATTATAGATGAATTTACTGCATTGGTATTAAATTTATAAATTTATAAGTGTAAGAGATTAATAGAATTTTTGAAATCTGTTTGATGAAATTTGCGATCTTTATTTGTTTTTTGTGGTTTTTGTAGGTGATCGTCGGATGAAGGCTAAAAATCTAAGGAAAACATGGATAAAGTATGGTGAGTTTTTTAATATTTCAATTAGTTAGTTATATTCATTTAATTCATACTTACCTGTTAGTCGTCGGGGAAAAAACCGTGGGGGAAGATGTCGTGAATGAGTTCTGAAGTTGTTAGTAGTTTAGCTAAGATGCGGATGATATTTTTAGTTTGAAGCAGTGGCCAAAGCAATTGAAGTGCCTTAATAGTGGTTAGTTCTTCAGTGCCAACTGCAAACTCATAAGGTGTGTTTTGGATTAGATTATATAATTTGTGATTGAATTTAGTGTTGTGGATGAATTCTAAAATTGGGATTTCTATGGGTTGTACAAACTCGTGCGGGATAAGGAAGGGTCGGGATTCTTCGGCGTTGAAGGTCTTGGTGATGGGACAGAAGATGTACATTTGGGTTATGGGGTCATAATTACGAAGAATACCATGGAGGTTAGTGTCTTTAATACAATATGTGAAATTTAGGAAAAATGGTGAAGTGTATTTGGAATTAATGAATTGAAAACGATGGTGTGGTTGTCTAGAGGGTGTGTGTAGGTCAAAGTGATTTTGGATGAAACGATAATAACTATATGTGTGGGTTTGTTTAGTGCGCAACATAATATCGTGTGAGCAGTGTAAATCTCTTTCGTGTGGTGCAAGGAAATGAAAGGTTAGTGAAAATATTTGGAAGCGTTCTTTAAAACTTTCGTATGCTTGTGTGCCTGTTAGTGCTTCTGAAATAATGTGATCAAACTTTCGGTCGAAGATGTTTAGTGTAAATATATATGGTGTCTTGATGAAAAATTTCTCGGTAATTTGTGGATTAGCGAAGCGATCGTCGTCTAAGAATTGATCTTGGTTAGCTCTGATGATGTTGTGATCATAGTATTCGAGTGTATATTCGTTAGCTCTAGGTGCAGTGTGTGTTTTTAGTGATTTTTTATATCCAACGTAAGTAAATTGTCTAGCGGTTAGTGGTGTAGTGAGTCGATATAGCATGTCCGTATTTCGCTCTATATCGATGTGAGTGTTAGATAAAGGTAAGCAAAGAGGGTTAGTGAAATGATAATATGAGGTCCAAGAGAGAGTGGGCATTAAAACGTATTCATCTACGAAGTTGCGTGTTTCGTTAGTGTCATGGGGGGTGTTTAAGGTGTATTGTGGGAATGAGGGTAAGGTGATGGCTAAAAATTCTTTTGTGTTAGTATGCTTGGGGTGGTTGATGTATTCACGGGCTGTTCCTGGTTTTGCTGGGAAAGGATGGTTGGGGAACTTTCTTTTAAAAGTGCGGTAAGCTCTATTAGTGTTGAGTGAAGATTCAGTTGATGTGGATGATGGTGCTAATGATTCAGTATAATTTGAAGAGGGTGTAGGGGTAGGGGGGTTGGATGAATTTATAGTGGAGGAGATTTGGTTTATGGTTGGGGTATTAAGGTGGTAGGGTTGTTGTTGGAGGGTAATAAAATTATCTAGCTCTGGGGAGATTCGGGGGGTGTCTGGAGAATGAGATGATTGGTCAGAATGGTATGAGGAGTAGGTTGGGGTAACTTGGGAAGCATAAGAGGGTGTGGGAGTAATGGGGTCAGGGTTATTGGATAATATGGGTTGAAAAGGGGGTTAAGAAAAATTAGAAGAGTTATGAAAATTATTGGATGGGGATGGTTCTGAGTCGGCAAATTCATCGGGGTTTCAATATTCGGGTTATTGAGTTGTGAGATGGAATATAAAACTGAGATGTGTGAATTAGTGTCGGAATTCATGCCTGATGTTACATTACTAGATGGAAAATCGGGTGGCGGAAAAGCAAAAAGTGGTATTATTGGGATTGGAGAGGTAAGATTGGTTGGGTGGGAATTTGATCGGTGTAGTGATCCAAGTTGGCGGCTCATCGTGGGCTAAAAAAATGATTATTTTGAGACTGAAAAGCGGTGGTATGGGGTTGTTCAATAATTTGTTCATAAGTATTATCATCTTGTGACTGGTGTGTCATTATATGTTGGATGGGACTTTGTGATGTGGTGAGTCGAAAATTTGGATTATGTGTGATGGCTAAATTTCGAAAATTTCGTGGGACTAGGGATAGTGGATGGTTATTTGGTAGGGGTGGTAATTGTGGTGCCGTTGGCGTTATGTCTACATTGTTATGTTCTTCGTCGTATGTATTTTGTCGTGTTGTTATTTTTGTGTTATATTCTTTTATTTGTGCGTCTAAAAGAATTTTGTTTATAGATGTAGAAAAGATTCCAAAAAATCCTGCAAATAGTATGCGTGCTACACTTGCTTGTCTGTTTACTTGTGTGTGTATAGCACATGTGTTGTAGATTCCTTTTAAAAGTGAGAAAAGAAATCCAATAAAGTTAAACATTGCGTATAAA